GATGCCGCCGCCGCCGCCGCCGCCGCTGCCGCCGTGTGAGGGCGCGGAGCTGGCGCGGAGCTGGCGCCCCGCCGGCGGAGCCCCCGAGCCGCCGCCCGTGCAGCTGCGGCAGAAGCTGCGGGAGCTGCCGGCGCTGCTGCGGAGCGGGCTCACGCTGCGGAGGAAGAGCAGCGCCGCCGCCGCCGCCGCGCGGGTGAGTGTCCGYGCTCCCCTCCGCGCACCCGCGCGGGGAGGCCGCCACGGGCGGGACGCGGCCCCGGGACCGCGCTCTGCTATGGGGGGCAGTTAGACGGGACCCCCCGAGGCCTCCGGCCCGGCCTTCGCGCGGGTTCCCCCTCCCGCGGTCTGCTTTTCACGTGGGGCGGCACCGCGGCGCGCGGCTGCCCAGGTGCCCGCGCACAGGTGCGCTGAGCGGCGAGCGGCCTCGTGCCCTGGTGCCCACGGCGCCCGTGAGCCCTGCACGCACGGCGCCCGTGAGCCCTGCACCAACCGGCGCGTGTGCCCGGTTATGGGTGGCCCTGCGTGCACGTGCGCGGCAGGCAGGTGCCCAACAGCGTTTCCCTCCAGTTGACTCATTCTTGGGAAGGCTCGTGGGCGGCTGCAGCAGCGCGGCCCGCGTGGCGGGAAACCGGGCCCCAGCCAAGCGCTGTGTGACYCCTCAGCAGCTGGAAACCAGTGTGGGGACAGCGGACCCTCCCACTGGTGACTGCGCCGGGCAGRTGGCATGTCAGTACCACTGAGACAAAACTTGCTTGCCATCGAAATCTGGGCCGAAAATCCACTGAAATGATGGGGTTGGGTTAATCGAGCAAGGGCATGAAGTCATCAGCCTTGTGGTGCTGGTGGGCTGGTAAATAAATGCCCGCGTAGGGGGTTGGCGTGGAGCAGTTGGCAGGATGTACGTCTGTACCTGAATCAGCTTTGCAGGAGTTTACCTGTGTACACAAGTGCTTTGTATGCAGGGGGAAGTTCTGCGAAATGTGTCTGGGTGTGAATTTAAAAACAAAACTTCCTGAGTGAATGTTTTAATCTAAAAAATATAATATGCAAAGAACTTAAATATGATGAGGGTAGTGTATAAATTTAAAGCAGAATAGCTATTGCTGCATAATTTCTTGAAGTAGAGTCCTATGCTAGTATAAGGAGCTAGTTTATATGAGTTTTACCTGCAGGATAAAGACTTGTCTACCTGGAGATTCATATATATATATATGTATTTATTTTCTGGTTGGTATACATTTTAATCCACTTCCTGAGTGTACATATGAATATGAAGTGGCCTGAACTTGATTTGCTTGACTTCATTCAGAAAATTGAAGCCAAGGAGTTTCAGTTAATTTCAAATAGTTGAGTCTGGTTCTGTTCTAACAGTGTTTGAGAGCACTTCTAAGGAAAATAAAACCTTTTTGGAATACTTTTTGGAGATTAATTCATGCCACTTTTAAAGCATTCCACAAAGAAAGTTCAGTGGAAGTGTCTAGTGAGGAGGTAGGAAGTAGTGCAGAACCGCTGTTGAGGACTGTTCCCATCTGTGGACCCACCTAAGGTACTGCATTGGGCATAACCAATCCAGGACGCTTGACGGAGATGCCATGTGGAGGATGTTTAGATTTGTGCTTGTGGCTAATCCTCAGTATTTGAGCGGGTGAGCAACGTGAATGTTTGCTCTGTCCATATTTGAGGTGGGTGGGTTGACAACCTGGTGAGAAGATCTTAGAACAGTGGATCTTAGCACAGGCAGTTCCTCAGGAGCCCTGGCTGAAGCCTTGGGCCGTGTCACTGTCCCAGGTGAGGTTGTCCATGCCAGTGCCCATGTGCAGTACTATGGAACAGCAAGAAAGAGGTGACAGATTTAGTCAASTGTCATTGGTGGTTTTGCCTTGCAGTACCCTGTAATAGACCTGTGGAAAAGTTTTTCTTTACCTGTCCATCCTAGTAGAAAGAAGGCTGGCGAGTTGGATGGTCAGTCTGTAGGTCTGCCCTGAGTGGGTGCAGCAGCTCTCAGGTCTGTGGCGAAGGTTGTGTGTAAGTTGTGTGGTCTGAAGGTTGTATGTAGGTTGTGTGGTCCGAAGGGTGTGCGTGGATGCTGCACGGTTCAAGTAGGAGCTTCCCGGCCCAGGTGGTCAGGTGCTGCCTAGCTGTGTCTGCTAGAATAACAGAATTCATCAATTATTTTATGCTCTCCAACTTAAGCACAAATCTCAAAATGAAAAAGGTCTAAGATAAACTTGGACATAAGGTTGAGTAGCACAGATATGAAACAAAGCATCTTATTTTCACCTCAAGATAATACTGCAGGTTAATTCAAAGTTAATTTTTGCAGGTTCTTTTGTTTGCTTATRAAATCCTTCTCTTCCTCTTTAAATTTAAGAGTGATCTTAGTCTCCAGTGGCTTTTTCTTTGTGCTTTTTTGTTTGTTCAAACACCAAGCTGAGTCGGTTATTTGTCCAGCTGGATCCATCAAGAATGTTGCTCACATAGGTGMGCTATTTTCAACTAAATGCTGACCAACTGAAATTCTGATTTATTTAATTTCCTAGAAAAATATAATATTATGACCCCGGAACAGGGGGTCTGCCTCTCATAATGACTTGCGGAGGGACTGCCTGCAATTTGCTTCCTCATCTATAAAATAGGGGTAATATGCATGCATGCATGCATGCTTGGAGACTGTGCATAATAAAACATAATGGGAGTGTTAAGGGTGCTATAATTATTTTAAAGATACACTTCAGTGCATGCTGTTAGAATATTTTCTATAGTGGGGGAGAAAAGCTTTGTGTGGGAGAGGGTAGTGCACAAAGAATGGAATAAATTTTGCAAAGCAGCATGCAGTGGAATAAATTTTTTAAATCTGCTTCAGCCTGCCAGTCCTTCTTGGTCCTTAGCACCGGAATATTAGAGAATTTGTGACTAGAGCTGAGAGTGATTGAAGAATGTGGACTAAAACTAAATGGTGAAACTAAATGTGCATTTTCCTCTCAGTTCCTTGAATGCAGAAACTGRATTGCAAGTGGGCATGTTTGGCCTTCTCTATCAGGATGCAATTGATTTTAATACAATCAAGGAACTTAGAGTTGGAAAAACACCTTGCAGAGTAAGTGCAATAACCCATCTAYGAGCCCAGGGTCATTTGCCTGTTGTTAAATACCAGTACATTGTGCTGTTCAGTCATTTAGATAAAACTAACCTCTAATTCCCTCACTAGGGATATTTTATTTTAAAGCTCCCGAACTTTGAACCGGATGTTGGCCCTGTCCTTGACAGTGGAGTTTCTTAATGCCAGTCTCAGGGCAGGCCTGTCACAGGTGCCTGAGCCTGCGCGGGCTGCTAGGCTGCGCTGGGAGTAGCTGCTGGAAAGGGACAGGTTTCCCTGCTCCACCTCTGCTCGGTGCTGCTTCTTTCCTAACACAGAAGATGGTCCCATCTTTTGTTGCGGTGGTTTTATTGCTTTTTACAGGGGTTCAAGCTGGTCCCACAAACAAGAGCTTGAGGCAGAGAAGTGACCTGGCTTCTTTGGGCCTGGTGCATCAGTTCCCCTCTGCTCTGTGTGTGTGTTTTTCCAAAATCCTTTGGAAAGCAGGATCCTTGTGCTTTCCAGTTTGCCTCTGAGGTATGCCCTGAAAGTACATAAAATGGCTATTGAATTTATAAAATGCTAAATTTACTCTCCTTCCTTTTGTTTGCCAAAATATCTTCCTCTCTTTTTTTTTTTTTTTTTTCCTTCAAAAGTAACAGAATATAATTAAGTTTTTGTGTGTTTACAACAACAAAGTCCCTGCCCCTGGAAACACGGAGGTCCTGCTGACACATCAGTACAGCAGTCACTCCATCACACAGATAACCCTTTTCCCCTGATGAAACTAATTTTGCTCATGTTCCTGAGTTCCTCCTAAAAGGCGCAAAGCAGCTCCTGGGAGATGGAGGAGGAACTGCCTTTCTCTGTCTCTGTCTCTCTGTCTCTCTGTCTCTCTGTCTCTCTCTCTCTGTCTCTCTCTCTCTCTCTCATACACACATTTTTAATCACCTCTTCTGCTTTCTAGGATCACATTTACATAGTAGCTTTGTGTGAGCCTGGATGCTGCTGTGCGTCAGACCGTGGTGTAGCTGCCGTGCCTTTTGTACACGGTGGCGTCAAACCCCGATGCTCTGATCTTGTGAAATACCCTGCTGGCCTGTACAAGCCTGTGCCATGCTGTCTGCCTTGCTCAAAGTCAAAGAGATACCACCAAGATTTTGTTTTCTTAGATCCATGAAAGGCTTCTCRTGCTGTTTCTAGATGTCTTCAGCCAGACAAGTGCGCCCAGGTTCTCCGCATAGAGGGAACCTTGTGTTTTGGGTGACAACTTTGCCACGTGTGGGTGGCGGAATGTAAACTTCTTTCTGGCTGTGGGATTTGCAGGTTGAAAAGCATGAACCAAARGAGTGAACCAAACCAAAGAGTAAACCTGAACCAAAGGAGCTGGATGAGAATCATAGGTGCTGAAAGTTTCCATGTGTTCTCCACTGGAGAAATTCATGGGGGAGAGATGTATTGAATCTACAGAATCTACATGAGACATGAAGTCCCTGAGCTGAAAATAGTTGGAGGGTTGAACAGTATTAGAAAAAAAAAATCCCTAACTTTGACTGTGGTGTCTGTCTTGCTGTTGGAGAAAATTCTTTGGCAGGGGAAAAATAAGTTYTATGCAATCTATTTAAATTAAAGGAAGGCCTCTCAACTATGCACTCTTATCTACATTTTGGTAAGCTTTTATTCACCTCTCATAAAAGACTTTCAGTGAGTTGCATCATTCAGGTTGCTTTCCTTCAATGAGATCATGCAATTCTTGTGATTGGGGAAACTGTAGGATTGCAGATGAGGTTTTGCCAGGACATTAGAAGTTGGTGGTTCATAGTTCAATGAAAAAATCAAACCTTTTGATTGTCCCTAAGCATGCAGGTTAATTTTATCCTTGGTTACTTCCCCACAATCTCTGACATTTTTAGCAGTCCCTATTCTTCTTTGCACTTCCTCATCTTGTTAGTGCCTAAGTGCAATGACCTTGTGTTTCATGCTATTGAACTACATCCTTTTCCTAATATTCCAGTTCTGAGAGTCATCTAATTTTCCCACATGTCCTTCTGYTTACCTTTGTTTTGCCCGTGCCTCCAATCTTGTGTCATCAGCTCATTTCATGGACCCATTCTGCT